AAAAAAAAAAAAAATTAAATCCACCGTAGTCACTGTGCTGTGCATGTTTGGTTATGGATCCCACCACAAGAATATATTTTCCCACAATGCATTCAGCTTAAAATGACAACCATGAACAAAGATTCAAATTTGATTTAATGTCTTCTTTAATTCATATCATAGCTCAAATCATCCTCATCACTGTCTCATGACTTCCATAGGCTACTCTGCATGCCACCATTTTGTTTTTAAAAGAAAAATGCATTGCACTATGTGTGAAATATTTTTTGATAAATAAAACATCTAGATATGTACAGCTTGTCATCAAGTGGTGCTTTAGTTTTGTGTCTCGTGTTACTGTATTATTGTGTTATAGCAGTATTTACTTTATACTTGCTGGCAGAATTGTTTTATATTTGCAAATTTAGTGTTCAAGGTCCGTAGTGTTAGGAAAATCTTTTGAAAGTCTTTGGATTTTTTGAGATCTGGAAAGTATTTGAGTTGTCTTTAAATTACAGGAAAAATAAAAAAAATCTTTGAAAAGTCTTTAAATTTCTTCATAGTTATTAATTCGTTTTAAAAAGACCCGTTTTCTTTAGGGAACTACCATATCCTCAGAACTTTGATGAGCTTTCACGATGATGTTGGCCTGAATTAAAGGTCAAAATCAAGGGTCAAGAAAGATTGGGAAAAAATCTGGAAAAGTCTTGAAAATAGTTTGGCTCTTGGTGCTTCATATGTTAACCATAGATTATTCATTGTTATTCTGAATTGCATTGACAGATAGTTGAATTTCTACTTTATAAATAATATCCCGAACCCTAATGTCCTGTACTCAACAGGAAATAAATACAAGGAGCACAATAGACCATTTTCCGTACACTGCGAGAATCACGCGTTATGCATGAAATCGAACGTAAAAACAGGACAAACAAAGGTCATAGCGTCGTAGTGGCGTCAAACATCGCGTGGGATTCGACAAACGCGAAAGTATTTCGGGGACATTTCCATGCTTAATAATGTGCTGTCCACATTTGATGATAGACAATTTCGATTAAGTAAGGGTATTCGGAAGCAATATTCCTCTGTCGAAGATCGGCCGGTTGGTGTGAGCTACGAAATAAGGAAATTCAAGTTCAAAATCAAATCGTTTGATTTTTGCGGCAGACGTTCGACGCGCGTCTTTCATGCATCTCGCGAGATCTCGCAATTGTACGGAAAATCATCTATTGTTCAATCAGTTTAGAAAGTTTCAGACAACTGCACATCCATTGGTAACTTGAGCCTCTAAAAATGAAGTACCAATACCCGATAACTACAAAATCTGTACTAAAGGCTGAATGACTTCTATTAGGGATGTGGCTTCTACCATAAAATCTGCATTAGAAGCCGCATCCCTAATAGAAGTCGCACCCATTCTTTTTGAATATTTGAGAACCAAAAATTCATCATTTCTGATATGTGTAGATGCTCTAATAGAAGCCGCATCCCCTCTGTTGCATTGTAATAGAAACAGCGGTTTCTAATAGATTTTACAGTAATACAGTTTTTATGATAATTTTGTTTCTCTTATAGTAGAAAGTGTCTTGAAATGTGCATTATGAAAATATCTTTAAATTTTATTCTACACTTATAAATTATAACTTGTATTTTCTTACATTTTTGTGACACAATTTGTTTTATGAGAGTAAAAAATCTTTGGACAGAAATATAAACCATGAGGCAAGTAATTAATGCCACGTGTCTGAAGAGAACACTGCATATGATAGTGTGAAACCTAAGGGAGATGTAAAACAAGTATACCTCATAGTTTCTGTAACAACATGAGTACTGAACTGTCTAGTACATCTGTCAGTGTACATGTATGCTTGAATGTCAGTAACATAAAATTTATATTAGAAACCGCATCTCTAATAGAAGTTGCACCCATTCTTCCAGTACACAACAATCACCATTTCTCGTATGTTTAGGTGCTCTAATAGAAACCGTATCTCTTCCATTTGCACCATTTTTATAGAAACTGCGGCTTCTAATACAGATTTTACTGAAACTTGCCGTAGTAGGAAATGAAAAAGTAAATGCAAAATACATTGCTCTGTTACAGTACAGTCAAAATGCAACTTACTGTAGAATACTTTATTTTCGCTTGGAATTTATTTTCGCTATTTTCGCTGAAGGGATGATTCCGTGAAAATAAAATTCAGCGAATATACTTTTTTTCCTATATTTCACGTTAAACTCATCAGAAATCAGTGAAAATAAATTCCACACAAAACGCCCCAAAAGCCTTTTCAGCGAAAATTAATTCCAGCGAAAATAAAGTATTTCATAGTATTTAGCTTTTAAGCCGGCTTTACGCTACTAGTAGCTCAGCTTGTTTTTAAAGTGCCACATATCTAAACTGTGAAGAGTAATATGTCTGATATTAGTAACATAGGTAAATACAACAAAAAGTAAGTTAAAATTATTGATGACAATAATACTCATTTTAAAAATGATAAGTTTTTTTAAAAATTCAATCCTAGCTACTAGCCAGCTTGGAAGTTAAGTTGCGTCTTGTATTAGAAACATACGTAAATACCACAAAAAGTAAGTTAAAATTATTGATGGTAATGATACTCACTATATTAAAAATTTTATGGAAAGGCAATGTCAGCTGATACCTGGCCTGGATGTGAAATAACAGCAGACTGTATTGCAGGCTCGTGTGAAACCTGGGGGACATGTAAAACAAGAACTCTACATAGTTTCTGTAATAATACAAGTATAGTACATCTGTCAGTGTAGGCTTGAATGTCTGTATCTTGCCTTTTTAGGAAATTCAAAAGTGAATGATACATGTAGATACTGTGGTCTATTAATAGCACATACACAAATAATAAATAATAGCAATAAATACTATTACTGTAGAATACTTTATTTTCGCTTGGAATTTATTTTCGCTATTTTCGCTGAAGGGATAATTCTGTGGAAATAAAATTCAGCGAATATACTTTTTTTCCTATATTTCATATTAAACTCATCAAAAATCAGTGAAAATAAATTCCAAGCAAAACGCCCAAAAAGCCTTTTCAGCGAAAATTAATTCCAGCGAAAATAAAGTATTCCACAGTAGTATAATAATAACTTTATTCATCCTGGGTGACTTGTTTAGCATCAAGGCCAGTCTACCACAAGACACAGACAATAAACATGTGAACATAGGTGTTAAATATAAATATAAAAAAAAAAAAAAATTATAATGTAAATAAAATTAGTGAGAAAAAAATGCACAAAATTTAAACTGTTCTGGCTGCTAGCTGCATCAATTGGGAAGTAGCTAGTTTTCCAACTTCATTCCTTGGTGAGAGACATTCTTTCTAAATACAGTGATAGCATAATGTTTCCTCACGTCATAGACCTCACCTACATTTGTACCTCTGTCTATAATACTGTAGAATACTTTATTTTCGCTTGAAATTTATTTTCGCTATTTTCGCTGAAGGGATGATTCCGTGAAAATAAAATGCAGCGAATATACTTTTTTTCCTATATTTCACATTAAACTCATCAGAAATCAGTGAAAATAGATTCCATACAAAATGCCCAAAAAGCCTTCAAATTAATTCTATAAAGTATTCCACAGTAATACTGGTAAACTTTTTGCCTGACCTGTCCATTAATTGATTTATAAGTTAAATACATGTACTTCTAAAAACTGTAACTTGATTTTTAATTCCATGAGGGTCATGGTAGACTAACATTGAAAAATAATTCTCATACCACATTTTTGTAATTTAAGAATGTGCTGATTAGAGCGGATGAGACAATTACCCATATACCATTGCAATAGTAAAGAGATTTTGCTGCACTTATACATAGATTATACAGCAGTAGACTGAAAAAAGGGGGGGGGGGGAGAAAGGTTGTTTGGACTGTCACAGAAAACAAAATAAGCAACTCGATTGTGTTTTAAGGTTTAGTAGATTTCTCTGCAAAGTAGAAATGACATATACCCAACCATAGGTCATTTAACCAATGAAGTTGTATGGGGTATTTTTATGAGTTCGAGTACCCAAAACAAATGATTGATAACAATCCAAAAAAGAAAACAATTACTGTAAAATTACAAATCCATTACACAACATAGTAAAATCAGTAAAAGTTATGGTCTTTATTAAAAAGAGTGTGCACATCCGGCTTTACATGTGCTACCCACCATAAATCTTTAATCAAATGGTTTCTGTTTGTAATCTGATTTTTACATTAGACAAGTGACATTGATGCCATCTGAGATCATCTTTGTAACATTGTTATTGTACATTATATCTGCCAACAAACTTTTTAAATGTTAAAGCGAGAGGGTCGTCACCTGCACACACGCGGGAATTGAGTCCCCAGCGACAATAACAACACGCACTAAAACGCAAAGGCTCATGGGTAGACACTTGTTTGTAAACAATGACACGCTTTGGCCTTCTGACGCATGTGCAGGTGATGACTTTCCCGCTTTAAGAATGCAAGGTCTACTTCAGACAAGTGACATTGTTGCCATCTGAGATTCATACCATCACGGACATGTTATATAACCTAGGCTTTCACTATAGATGAAACAATTTTGCACACAGAGGCGACTTAACTATCGTAAATTATTTTTCTCAGCCAGTTTCCTCCCTTTTTTAGCCATGCGCAAATACAGTGAAAGGCACCAAGTTTTTGCTCATGAATATATTTATAATTTTTTTTAGATGCAATAGAATGTTTCTGCCATAGAAACCAATTGTAAACTATTCAAAACATGAATTTTTGATAAATCTTCAAAGTTGTTTTGTGGAAAACTTAGTTCGGTTACCATATATTTTTATTACAGTGAACCAGCCTCTCTTGCTGGATTTTTGGGGGATTTGGAGGAGTATGTTTTTTTAATAATATCAGCAAGAATATTTGTTGACCCCACTCACTACCTTAAGTAGCTGTCCAGATATTTTTAATTATATATTTATAATATTTTACCATTGAAATTTCTCTTTATTTCGTTCTAGATGCCGTTCTTCAAAATTCGTACTTCCAAGTTTCGGCATGTGTATGGTTCAGTTGCCAGGAAAGATAAATGTTACGAAAACATTAAAATAACCAAGAATGCACACGATAGTAATTTTTGTTCTGTAAATCCGAAGTTTATTGCTGTGGTAACAGAAACAGCTGGTGGTGGATCATTCTTGGTTTTACCGCTTAATAAGGTAAGTCAACTTGTATTCTCAGGGGTGGAGCTACGTCATAAAAATGTTCTATGTTGCTAAGACGCGCACCACTGTGTTCTCAGAGGTGGAGCTACATCATAGAATGTTCTCGGTTGCTACATGTAAGACGCGCATCACTGTATTCTCAGTGGTGGAGCTACGTAATAGAATGTTCTATGTTGCTAAGAGGCGCACCACTGTATTCTCAGGGGTGGAGCTACGTCATAGAACTAACACCACTGTACTATATTTTTTAATGGGCTCTGTGTGAGCTGCAGTGGAACGCCGGTCAAAGAGCCGCTGAAAATAGTGAAAGTCAAGAAAACAGCACAAACTTTGAGGTTATCCTGAAGAACCACATTTATATATGTTGCACATGTGGGGGTAGTCTTGATACACTGTTTTAGAGTCTCAACAACTACCCGAAAGTACAGTTTCATTTTTAAAAAATGGGGTGGCGTGAGTTGGTGGGTTGGTGGTTGTGTGTGTGTGTGGTTGGTTGGTGGGTGGTCGGTCGGTCGGTCGGTCGGTCAGTCGGTCAGGTTTTTGGGTGTCTGGGTGGCGAGCATGGATTTAAATTTTTTTTTTTTTACTTTTTCAGTCCAGAAAAATATCTCATTTCTAGGGGGATGTAATAGGTACTACATGCAATACATTTTGTTTTTAAGCTAATTTTGTGGACGAGAAGCTAACTTTTCTGAAATAGCAATTCTACTCAAACATTGTCAAGCAATGTACTCTCCTGAATAAAGATAATTAGCATTTTTACAAAACTTTGGGATAAATAATAATAAATCTTTCACCAATGGAGGGGTAATTTATAGGTATCACATCATCTTTACAGGTCGTTTTACTTTACATGTCACATAATAAGCAGCCATCCATGTGAATACACATGTATTGGAAAGGTATTTTCACATGCATTCAGTTAAACCTTCAGTCAGGGACAGGAACTATTGTAGTTGTTTTATCTGTTTGTCCATCCATTCATTTCACTGCATCCATGATAATGATGTTAAATTATCCACAAAGTCTGAGAAACTATTCGGAGAAATTTTTTGGAATATAATCACCAGCATAAGTACTCTCCCCTCATCACCTGGCTGCTAATATATAAATTTCTTTGTTTCATAAATTCAAAGACACAACCAGATACTGGGAATTTCCTTACTTATCTAAGAATTATATGTAGTATAGTCTAGTGTACAGTTGACAAAAAACTACTTCTACTACAAAACATCTGAGTATACAGCAACTTGGGGAAAAGTGAAACATTTTGAAAAAAAAAAAGTATGCTTTCAGAATGCATGAAGCATATCCACAAATAGCTGTGTGCTTGTGACATTTACCAAATTTACCAAGCATTATATGTTTATAAAAAAAAAACCATTGAATTGTGGGTAATTACAGACGCTGTGTTACATTCCATTATATATGATTAAAATCTGATGTAAGTTATAACCCAAATTCAGGGTTATACTGTAGAATACTTTATTTTAGCTTGTATTAATTTTCGCTGAAATAACTTTTTGGGTGTATTGTATGGAATTTATGACCCCCTCCATTATCAGTTGGATCACCCCTTATTGCACACACTGACCCCCTCCATTATCAGTTGGATCACCCCTTACTGCACACACTGACCCCCTCCATTATCAGTTGGATCACCCCTTATTGCACACACTGACCCCCTCCATTATCAGTTGGATCACCCCTTACTGCACACACTGACCCCCTCCATTATCAGTTGGATCACCCCTTACTGCACACACTGACCCCCTCCATTATCAGTTGGATCACCCCTTACTGCACACACTGACCCCTCCATTATCAGTTGGATCACCCCTTATTGCACACACTGATCCCCTCCATTATCAGTTGGATCACCCCTTATTGCACACACTGACCCCCTCCATTATCAGTTGGATCACCCCTTATTGCACACACTGACCCCCTCCATTATCAGTTGGATCATTCCTTACTGCACTTACTGCACTTACGCCCCTTTCTGTGGCAAGTCCTCTCAATTACCAAGTCCCCCCACACTTACTGCCACCTCTCATTACCAAGTGACTCATCCCTTACTGTACCCCACCATGTATGTTGATTGAAGTATGTGAATGGTATCCTTTCCAGTCAGCTTATTTATTTCACAGCTGTCTTTGACTTCAAAGGATGACCATATTTTATCTTTCACTACATCATGCATACCGTAGTAGTGCATTAACAGCATTGGTGATGTCAGAGACTTCACCATTGGACTCTGAATACTGTACAATTGTAGCTTTGTTCTATTTTTGTTCATTTCACTGAATACTGTAAAATACTTTATTTAGCTTGAATTAATTTTCGCTGGAATTTTGTATGGAATTTATTTTCACTGATTTTTGACAACTTGAATGTAAAGTATAGGAAAAAAGGTATATTTGCTGGATTTTATTTTCACTGAATCATTCCTTCAGCAAAAATAGTGAAAATTAATTCTAAGTGAAAATAAAGTATTCTATAGTATACTCTAAAATCAATACCCAGCAAATATTCAAACAGTAGTAAGCATTGATGCATTCACATTCATGTGATTTAAAAACCTAGTGAATATACTTGTACATGTATACCTGCAATATCAAGTTGCTAAAATTAAACCCAGTTTAAATTTAAACTCCCACATTGATATTTTGACAGCGTTAATTCCACAGGGACAGGCCATTTCCACATTTACCTGTCTCAGCTAAAATCTGCCTGTCTGTAACAGGTTGACAGGTCTTAATTCCATAGGGACGGGCAATTTCTACATTCACCTGTCTCAGCTAAAATCTGCCTGTCTTGAACAGGTAGACAGGTCTTAATTCCATAGGGATGGGCCATTTCCACATTAACCTGTCTCAGCTAAAATCTGTCTTGAACAGGTAGACAGGCCTTAATTCCATAGGGACGGGCAATTTCTACATTTACCTGTCCCAGCTAAAATCTGCCTATCTGTAACAGGTGGACAAGCCTTAATTCCTTAGGGACGGGCCATTTCCACATTTACCTGTCCCAGCTAAAATCTGCCTGTCTTGAACAGGTAGACAGGCCTTAATTCCATAGGGACGGGCAATTTCTACATTTACCTGTCCCAGCTAAAATCTGCCTGTCTTGAACAGGTAGACAGGCCTTAATTCCATAGGGACAGACCATTTCCACATTTACCTGTCCCAGCTAAAATCTGCCTGTCTTGAACAGGTTGACAGGCCTTAATTCCATAGGGACGGGCAATTTTTACATTTACCTGTCTCAGCTAAAATCTGCCCGTCTTGAACAGGTAGACATGCCTTAATTCCATAGGGACGGGCAATTTCTACATTTACCTGTCCCAGCTAAAATCTGCCTGTCTTGAACAGGTAGACAGGCCTTAATTCCATAGGGACGGGCAATTTCTACATTTACCTGTCCCAGCTAAAATCTGCCTGTCTTGAACAGGTAGACAGGCCTTAATTCCATAGGGACGGGCAATTTCTACATTTACCTGTCCCAGCTAAAATCTGCCTGTCTTGAACAGGTAGACAGGCCTTAATTCCATAGGGACGGGCAATTTCTACATTTACCTGTCCCAGCTAAAATCTGCCTGTCTTGAACAGGTAGACAGGCCTTAATTCCATAGGGACAGACCATTTCCACATTTACCTGTCCCAGCTAAAATCTGCCTGTCTTGAACAGGTAGACATGCCTTAATTCCATAGGGACAGGCAATTTCTACATTTACCTGTCTCAGCTAAAATCTGCCTGTCTTGAACAGGTTGACAGGCCTTAATTGCACAGGGACAGACCATTTCCACATTTACCTGTCCCAGCTAAAATCTGCCTGTCTTGAACAGGTTGACAGGCCTTAATTCCATAGGGACGGGCAATTTCTACATTTACCTGTCCCAGCTAAAATCTGCCTGTCTTGAACAGGTAGATAGGCCTTAATTGCACAGGGACAGACCATTTCCACGTTTACCTGCCCCAGCTAAAATCTGCCTGTCTTGAACAGGTAGACAGGCCTTAATTGCATAGGGACAGGCAATTTCCACATTTACCTGTCCCAGCTAAAATCTGCCTGTCTTGAACAGGTTGACAGGCCTTAATTCCATAGGGACGGGCAATTTCTACATTTACCTGTCCCAGCTAAAATCTGCCTGTCTTGAACAGGTAGATAGGCCTTAATTGCACAGGGACAGACCATTTCCACATTTACCTGTCCCAAGAAAAATAGCAACAATCTCTGCTAAAATCTTCCTGGTTTAAATGGGCACGCAGCCCTTAAAATGCAACCCTTGCAGTTTACAGTAACACTTTGCTGTGTGTACATTACTGGTGTATTAATCACCTCCTTAATATAGAAATTACTACATTCATTAGACATGTTAAAACTAACACCTATATCTAGGGACCAAAGAATGCTTATTCAAACACAGTATGTATATGATCTTTAGTACTACTAGTATATGCATGTCAATGTCCCAGGGCAGATTTTCTAAGTGGTCAGCAATTTGAAGTTTTGGCGTGGACGGGGCGGGGGCTATCAAGGGGTTGGGTTGTATGGTAGGGGTAGGATGTTGTTGGGTAGTGGTGGAGTGTACAAGAGTGGCCAGTGGATTTTTTTTTCGCAGTTTTGTATCTGTTGTATTATTTTTCATGAATGTGCTAACATAGTGCTATACATAGTCGTTGTCATAAAACATGTACAATTAGGAGAAAAGTGAAATAATCTGTTGTAGCTATCACTTTGGGTTATTCACATTTAAGTTTTGTTTTTCTTACGTAATTATCATTGTTTATAATCTCTAAAATAATAATGTTAGCATCTTTGTTGATTTCAGACTCGTGATAACCTACAGCCGATAGCGCTGATGTTGTGCTTTTAAAACTACCATGCCCCAAAACAGCCACATTTCAACATTTTAAAGATATAACCCCCCATCCCCCGGTAAATATGTCTCGTATTAGTAAGGGACGACGTCAAAAGATCAATGTCGGAT